GGCCAACATATTTTAGGGGAAGCACCATGACTATAGGCCAGTCGGAGAGAAAGAAAAAGAAAATGATGAGAAAAATCTTCAATACATCTAAATTGTTCCAGGCAGAATGCTAAAAATGAATGTAAAGGATGGGAAAAGAACATTACTGGCAAAATCAGCATTATAACACAGCTAAATTCTTTCCCCATTTCACATCATTACCAGGGCTTTTTCTGATCCAGAAGAATAGCACATGGGAACACTGTCTTTATACTCTAGCAGTAAATACACTATAAAAATTCATGTAAATTTTAAAATACAAAAGAGTAATAAATGTAAAAATAATTTAACACAGTGAGAAGAGAGATCATATGTGGGATCTGCAAAAGCTGAACTCATAGAAGCAGTAACAATATAAAACAATATTTTTCTTTAACTCACAATGTCAAAAATTCTTCATTTTACTTACAAATAATTGTGTGTATTTGTGTGTGGGGAACAGGTGTAATTAATTTAACTGGCACTGACTTTCAAAACTTTAAGAATAATTATTTTTCAAATTCCTATCCTCTCCATAACACACTCGATGATCAATTAGAGGCTTAAACGTGCAACAAAATTCTCAATACAAGGGAACTAACAAAAACACTTCATAAAATGTGAATATGTGATCTCTGAGTTATCTGTCCCAAGAATCAATTTATCAAATTCTTCAGAATAAAACCAGAAAAAGATTTCTTCAACATCTGCTTTAAAGAATTACTGATGGAAGTCGGGCTAGGGATGCAGCTCAGTGGCACAGCACTTGCCTAAAGAATCACTGATGGACACAAAATAAACTGAAGATGAAAACAACGTCACAGTTTAGTGGAAGCAATGGTAGTCTCATGCTCTTTGAGACGTCACTGGTGAAAGCCTCTCTAGCTAAATAGAGTAGATTTTTTACGTGATGGCATGAGAAAAGTATGCATGCATTTTTGGTGGAAAGATAACTGCCACCCAGGGAATGGACTGCCATTCTGCAAGACTAGGAGAGGAGACAGGGGCAATTTAGTTGTCCAGGCAAGAAATAATGCAAGCCCCCTTGAAGTTGACCGGGGCTCCCTACTGTGCCTCCGCCAGCAGCTGCTGAAGCAAAGGCAGGAGGCAGGTTGGCAGGCAGGGCCACGATAAGGTTCTCGCCTCAAGAGTGTTTCTTCCAGAAGTGATGCCTTAGGGGGAAAATAAAGAGAACTGGATTGCTCAAGGTATGCAACTTCAGGCAGCTTATTAAGAAGTTATGGGCCAGGGATTTAGCTCAGTGGTGCCGCCACCTACCTTGCAAGCACAAGGACCCAAGTTCGATCCCTGGTACCAAAAAAAAAAAAAAAAAAAAAAAAAA